GCCAATTACATTGCCCTCTTTTTGGGTTACGTCTTGTCTTTTCTCACTCTAAACTTCAGACTAAAGATGGATGCACTAAAGTGAGGCCTTTCGCAGGAAATGTGCAGGATGAAGCTGCTTCCTTCCTACCTCCATCCTCTACCCAGATCTCCAACCAGCACAGACCTGCTGCACTTCAGGCCCAGGGCCTTCAAACCACCACAAATACAACAAATTTTAGACTGCTGCCACGAGGCAGCTCTGGATGAATGAGCCCAAAGCAAAAGTGTAACAGCAGCCAAGGGTTTCCCTGAGCGTTTCACGCCAGAAGTAAAAACTGCGCTCCCCCTGACTCAAGAGACTTCATAACTGTTGAGAAAATGGATTGTGGTTTCCTACGGCAGCTGTTCTCATTGTGTTCCCTTTGGTAAGAGGAGGAGACTCGGCCTTTGCAGAGCAGGCAGAGATCTGACACTGCTTATGAAAATCACACTGCTCCTCTGCAGTTGTGAGACAGGCGCCAGGTGCCGATTGGGAACAACAGGAAAACAGCAAGGTGAACATCACGTGCCAAGGCAGAAGTTGCTCATCATGTGGCTTTTTGAAGAAAAAAAACGGTACATACACATCTGTGTTTGCAAACCTGTGTGCTCAGGTGCCTTGCTCTGAAACCTTCAGGAGTGGCAATCGGTTTCAGGCTTAGAGGACTCTGCCTGCGTAACAGATGCAAAATCAGGTCTTGGAAGTAAAACCAACCAAAAACCTCCAACAATTTGCAGAACAACTGAAGTTCCCACCACAAACCACCGCTTTCAGTGTATCGGGGAGAAGGGAGGAGTACTGCAGAATTAAAATCTTTCCTTTTAGAACATCATTGCCTGCTGCTGAGAGCCGTGAGGCGTATCAGCATCTATTTGTTGTTCCCAACCCTCCTGCCCTCCCCGTTTCCAGCAGCTTTGCACAGGCCAGTCTGAGAGAACACCTCATGGCAGCTTGATGAGAAGCTGGCACACCTGTCTACAACCTCAAAGGTATATTCAGTCCTGCTGCCTTTGTTAAAATTTTAATCTCTGCATTACGCAAATACTATTTCACAGAATCACAGCATGATATGGGGTTGGAAGGGACCTCCAGAGATCATCTAGTCCAACCCCCCTTGCCAAAGCATTTCCTTCTTGTCTCGCCCGGCAGCCATCAATTTTTTCCTTGGCTGGGTGCAAAAATGTCAATGTAAAGTAAATGTGAGCCTGCAGACAGAAAAACTATCACAGTACCCACAGCACATTCGGCACAGAGCTGTGGTAATACCAAAAAAAGCGATGCACAGCCCCGTTGCAGACCCTACAAAAAACAAAAAAGAGTTTTTAAAAACGTAAGCTTCTTTCAGTCTAGGATATTCTCTCCTGATTAAAGCAATTATAAGAAATCAAATGTAGGGCTTTACAATGGCACCGCAAACAGACGTAGAACACCTAATTTCATACTGCTCTTTGCCCACAAGCAAGAAAGTGGTCTTGGATCCAGAGCAGATACTAGAAGTCTGTGTGTCTCCTTCCAAAACCTCCTCCTCATACTGGAAGATCTTTGCATCAACCACACCCTTTAAATACAAGTATTTATCTGCTAAATTCACATCTGAAGGAGACAAAAAAGCTACTCTTCTATATAGTAAAGTTACTTTCATCCCTTCTCTCACTATATTATTGAGTAGCACTGGCAATGGGAATGCTTCTGCAGATGACAGCACTGTGCCAAGGACCCAAAAACCCTTGAAACACATCCCGTGTGGCTGCAGTGGTCCCCAGGGTCTGCCCCCCCGCTGAATGCCATTCAGCTACAGGAGCGCATTAGCTGTGTACCCAGAGCACATCTGCCAGTTGTGCTCCATCCAGAAGGAAAGCTTTGCATCCCTGCATGATTTCCCATGCACAGAAAGCATGGCTGATTGGGGAGTGAGCTTCAAAAACATGCTCATAAACCAAAACAAGGCGCTGACAGAGACACCCTCCCTCCTTTCATAACAGCAGCTGAGACAGAGGTCCAGCTGGAACAGAATCACGAGGAACAGAATTTCAGAACTGAATTTCAGGTGCAGGACCTGTTGAGGGAACACAACAAGAAACTCAGCACCGTCTTACACCTTCCTAGGAAGGGCTCAGGTTCTGAAAGAGAAGCTCCCTCTCTGTTAACTGTCCTAGTCACACCTGTGGCAAGATCTGAGACTGTCTGAGGGGAGACCTCATTGCCCTCTGCAACTACCTGAAAGGAGGCTGTAGAGAGGTGGGGGTTGGCCTCTTCCAAGGGAATAATGGCAGGAGCAGAGGAAATGGTCTGAAGTTGCAGCAGGGGAGGTTTAGATTAGATATTAGGAAGAATTACTTTACTGAGAGGGTGGTCAGGCACTGGAACAGCCCGCCCGGGGAGGTGGTGGAGTCGCCATCCCTGGAGATATTTAAGAAATCTGTAGACGTGGCACTTCAGGGTGTGCTCTAGTGCCTGAGATTGTTGGGTTGGGGGTTTTTTGTGTGTATGGTTGGACTCCATGACCTCAAAGGTCCCTTCCAACCATGAAGATTCTGTGTTCTTCTGGTACTCAGCATACAAACACGCACACCCCCTCTCCCAACATGTCCCTCAGCACAGCCCCGAGCAGACGCAGCCACTACAGCTCCACTATCCATACAACAGCAGCTGAGGAGGACTGAGCCACACCACTAGACAGTCTCGTACCAGCTCCTGAAGTCGTTGCTTCCCTACCCATTCCTTCCTCCCATCATGCCCAAGGAGAAGGGAGCAGGCACATGGCTAAACACTTCCGTGAATTTCCTGGGGCGCGTGGACATCACTACAACATTTAGACAGAGAAGCCTTTCAGAAAGGGAAGTTTTCAGCCTGTGCTTTCCACGCTGCTTGTTTAGTTCCTAAAAATGAATGAATGACATACTGTGGTTATATATTACGCTACCTAATACTCACTCTGGTTTCCCCTACTCTGGTTTCCCCTGCTGCCTATTCCAGTCACACACTCTGGAAAGCAGAAGGGCCCCTGCTGAAATGAAAGCCCCATTTCAAGCACATGGGTTGAAAGGGAACAAACAGGAGGATATCTTCCATATTCACAAAGCCTTTCTCAACGAGTTTTACATACAGCCCCAAACCACTATAATTATCATTTAAAACATTTCTATTTAAAAATCATTGTGCCTGACCTAGTCTACCACCTGATATTTTAGGCTCAGCCTGGAACGTGACAGCCGCCAGTCCCCTCACCAGTTCTCACTGGTGCACGGAGACTGTCTCTGAACGACTTTTCCAGTGACACCTTGGGCCAAGGGGCACACACCTACACTTGCGGCAACTTGGAGAAGTTTAACCTTGAGTGTGACTCCTGCAGACGACCCAGAGCTTGCCAGCACAGCAGTGTCCACCCCAGCCTGCCTGTTCCCACTCCCCTGCAAGGCCCTGGAGCTCTCCCTCGGGTCCCAACCCCCCACCCCTCCATTTAGCAGCAATCACAAACCCCTGTGCTTTTCTCAAAGCAACTGAACGCTGCCTTAACAGCTTCCACCCTCTCCCCTTGGAGAGGCAGAACCAAGATCTCACTTAAAGACCTCCCAGCCTCCCACTAACATTTATTCATTGGCATTTGTTGTTGTGCTAGCTGAATGACCTCATCACCTTTCACGCTGCCGATGGACAATATTATCCCCAACATCATCCCCATCATCGTTTCTCTTTTGGCTTCTTTCAGCTCCTCTAAAATGGGCTCACCATTCCTGACAGCAGAGAGAACAGGCAGTTCCAGCACAAGCTCATCTCTCCCAAGCAGGGGTGACTGGAAACACACACATTTGTACCGGCCTGGCTCCCTCTCCCCGGGTAGCGGATCATATTTGCTCTTCTCACAGCTGTGCCCTGCTGGCAGCTCCCAGCCGTCCTCTCCGCAAGCCGGCACCACCTCGGTGAGGCCAGAGCGCTCGCCTTACAGCAGAAAGTCTTTCCCCAAGTACATGACCTCGCTTTCCATCCGATTAAATTTCATCCCGGTGCCCGCTGCTCCAGCCCTCCCCGATCCTCCCGTCTCAACCCTTTCCTGCGCTGCTGAGGGTACAAAAGCTGAAGCTTTGTGAGCTTTTAGCAGCCTTTCCTGGCCGCTGCGGACAGCCCAGGGCTCCCTCCCCCTCTCCCCGGCCCACATCACCCTCCATCCATACCTCTTCTCTCCGCAGCAAACGCTCCAGCCCCCCAGACCTTCCCTCTGCACGGAGAAGCGAGGTCCTCCCTCAAGGAGTTAACCGAGGATTTATTTCCATCCCTTTTATTTTTCTTATGGGCGGTGGGTAGTGCTGGACTTCTCCGACGTTTCGCCCGCTGTGCTCAGAGTCCCTACGCCTCCAGCAGCGGCCTGCCCGGGGGTACAGGGGCACCGGCCCCGCCGGGCTTCTCTCCCT